TATATATATTATGTACTTAAAAGTTCTAGTTAAAATATATGTGTATCTTAAGTATGTTTTATATTTATCATTAGCCAGCTCCAATTGATATTGTACATTAAGTAATTTAATCAGCATTTTTACTTTTAGATTTAATGAGAGTTATAAGTTTTGTCATCTTTCTTACCCCTTGTTTAGTTATTACAATACTAATAAAATAATTAAGGACCTTTCAAAGTATCTTGTTTGCTTTGAAAAAAATTAATTCTTATCATAAATTGAACGCCAATTACATTGAATGTGTTATATTTTTTATCGTATCAAAAATTTTCATAATAATAGTTGCACACAATATTATATATAATGCATTTTTTTTATAGATTTGGAGTCTTAGTTCTACTACAAGAAAATGAAAAAATTCCAACAAAATTACAACAAATATAATGATTTTCTTATGTTGATTTTATAAAAATCTTGACTTTTGGTTTTTTAAATATATTTTACCTTATTGTGATTGCATAGATTTATTAAAATGTATTACAAATGAGAAAGGTGATAGATTATGTAAAGTATAATTTATAAATGACATAATGGCAGGAAATAACATGACCTTTACGTGTTTGCAATTTAATCACGACTTTTAGACTTTGACAGATAAATACATGACCTTTACACTTGAACCTTGTACCTCTAGCACACCAAGTGTGCTTACGAGCCACTTAACCCAACCCAATTTGTGTTAAGTATTGGAGTTCATTTATATATATACAAAACATCATTTTATCTATATTATATAATATCTATAAAACTTTTAATTATAATATTTTTAAATAATCTATTGATGAAATATATACTAATTTATTTATTAAATATTTTATATTATATTAAAAAATAATATATTAAATAAATTAAATTTTACTAAATGAATAGATTAGATATTTATTTATTTAGTTTTATTTCGTAATTTAATATGTTAAATAAAGTAAATATTATATAATATATTAAATAAATAATATATTTTAAATAAATAAAAATAAAATTATGTAATATATATTAAATAAATAATATATTAAATAAATTAAATTTTATGAAATAATGAATACTATATTATTTAATAATATTATTTATTAAATAATATTATTAAATTAATTTTATTTAATATATTATTAAATAAATACTATATGAAATAAAACTTAATTTATTTAATAATATTATTTAA